AACATCAGTTTTACTACCCACCCCTTCTGCCAACCAGGGGTACTCATCTTTATTGAGAAGTTTGAACTGTGACTTCAACTGCATATGAGAGCTTCATTTAAGAAAGGAGAGGATTGGTTCCTGGTGTCAGGGAGGAATAAATTTTCTCTACTCTTCTAGGTTCTTTTGGCTGGTCTAAGAATTAAATTGACATGAGTAGGTTAACATGAGAAAATCAAACAAAAGTTTAATAACATGTATATATGAGAGAGACCCAGGAGAACTGAGTAACTTGTCAAAATGGCTGAAGCCGTCGCCTTAAATATCATCTTCAGCTAGAGACAAAAAGGGATGTTGGGAATAGGGGTTTGGGACTTCAAAGGGAAGGAAGGCAATTTATATGGAGATGGAAAAGCAAATGTTTGGTAAATAAATGTATGCTAGGCCAGGCAGAGACAGTGGGAGACAGAGAGGAATTGTAACAAACAGACTTTGCTAGGTTCCTCCCTGTCTACACACCTAGTTCATATTATAGTTATCTATGGTAATATCTCCCTTCCCGGAACAGGTCTTATATCTACATTCTTTAGGCTTTTAGCGGGGAGGCCGAAGTTTCTTTCTGAGTTTTTTAGGCCTTGATTGTTCTCAGCTCAAAATAACCCGCATGCCAAAGAGACATTTTGAGGTGGCAAGTTTTGCTCCCCTACGCTGGTATGGCATGTTCCTCCTCCTGGATTTCTGTTGATCCCTCCTGGCTCCACGAAGATGCCAAAACAAATAAAGATGTGTTTGAGACCTTGTCTACTGTGGCATGCATCATATATAGATGAGTGTAACACTGGAAGAAGCTTCCTTTTTCTTTCTCTTACACTCTATCAGATGGCTTGTGTAGATCACTTGGAAACTCTTTAATGTGTACAAGAGTCTGTACCAGTCTGAACTGGTACCAGTCAGTCTGGAACAGTCTGAACCATCTGTTCTTATGTGGACCAACTGATATATAACATAGCAAAAACAGCAGCAGAAAGTGGGCGAGAAGTCTTATCAGATTTTCCAATATTTTCTCCCACTGGGCAATAGTAACCAGGTTTGATCTCTTGGATTGTTTAAAGCCCTGAAGATTTGGGACTTATCATAGGAAAGGAAGACCCAACAAGGGAAGAAACAATATTTTCCAGTAAACCAGTTGGGAGTTTGGGATCAAAATATTTTAAATATTAAGAAAAATGTACCACAGGATGATGAAGGATATATCCATTAGATAATAGATGAAAAGAGAAAGAAATATGGATATGGATAAAGAGATTATATATATATATATATATATATACATATATATACAGTATCCATATATATATTCACACAGCATACACAGTATCTATCTATCTATCTACCTATCTATGTCTATGTTTATATTTATAATTTTACCTCGTGCAACTAGCAGTCATTATGTCTGTGGCTAATTTTTATCCATACAGTTAAATTTTTCAACGAGAAGGTATTGATTCTTAATAAGAAATACATATAAATTATTTTTAATTTTAAAAAGAATGCTCTCTTCCTAGAAGAAAGAATTTCAAAAAGAAAGAATTCTCATTCTGAGGATGTTAACCCTTTGTAGATATGTTTGTGCAAGTGAGAGTCAATGTTTAGAAGGCTATTCAACTCAGCTGTAGGCCACTGGTTTTTTGTAGGAAAAGTGATTATTTTTTGTGATAGCATATGGATTTCTGTTATTTTATGTGAATCATCATTGTTGATGTAATTCATCTAGGAGTTAACAAAATAATTAAGTGCTACATTTTCCTTATTATCTCAATCCATTCTTGCTTCTGTCACCTCATGTGGTTAAGTCAGCTTGTCAAGTTTGGATTTTTCTTTTGTTGATATGTCAGGCCAGCAAACAGTTTCCCACTCTCAGATCCCTGGGGATAAAAAAAAAAAGAAGAAAAGTCAAAATAGAATGTGCTTTCCTTTAGATTGTCCTCTCATTTTGCTACAGACCTCAAAAGATCAGAAAAAGGAAGGGATTTTTCCCAAACATTTTATTTAGCAGATCTAATTTAGGGATATAAAATGTAGCAATAATTAATACTTGGCTTTCCATAATAAAAATATATATGTTTTGCAAATTGTAAGAGATGAATTTCTCTGGTAATCCTGTATAATCTTATTTCACAGAGCTGGCATTTGTGTCAACAATTTTGTTCCTCAAAAGAAATGTTTGAGGTGTCAGTCTTGCTTTGTGTATGGGGGTAGAGCGGGCAGCAGCGGGGGCAGGGGGTAGTGGTTAATTCATGTAGTTCTATAGAGCATAGAGCACAAGGAAAGGGCAGTGGAGAACCAGGACGAAAGCCTCATCAATTTGCCTCCTCTCTTTTTCTCCATACGTGCAAATATACCACCTGTCCAGTGCTCTAGTATTGCCATGGTCAGGGACATACAAGCAGTGTGGTCTGGGGGGGAAAGTTGAAGGACTGAGCAAGACTGTCTCTGAAATATCTCCCTGGTAGCCTAAGATGCTTTTAAACTACTAAATACCTCTATTAGGATTACCCAGATCATTGGTCAGAGGCAAACTTAAAGATGAATAGGGACTCATTTGTGCCTCAGTATCCTTATATGTAAAATGAGAATAATTGAGTCGTTGTGGGAATAAAATGGGATAATAAAATACTTACAGTAGTATATATCATATAGTGCTCACAGAATTGTAGCTATTATTGTTATTATTATGTGGTTCTTGGGCGTTATGTGGGTGAGGTGAATAAAGGTGGAACCATGGAAAGGAAAGGGGATTAGGTAATACCTGGAAATGATACAAACAAAATGAGAATACAGTTTCATTTGCTATCTGAGAAACTTACCTGAAGTTTACATTTTCAAAGAAAAAAGAGGACATTTATACCTTTGTATACTCCTGCAATCAGAGTTCACATGTTTGTGTATCATCTTCTTAATGACATTTCTTCTTAGTCCCAGGAAAGACCACTGGAGTCCAAGCCTCAGAGAATTACTTAGGGCTCAAAACTGGGCACCTAAGGAAGTGGAGGCCAGGCTTAAAATCCCAAGAACTAGAGAAATAATTCTTTTCATTAAGGGAACTCCCAGGGGAGGGAGGTTTGTATTATAATTAGTATAATCATTGTTATCCTGGTAGAGGAACTGACGTGAACTAATGTTGGAAGCTGAGTAGGTGTTCGTCAATTGAATGAGAGACCCTGAGGGTGGGGTGGTTGGAGGGGTGTTCAGGAAGAGAGAGTTGTGTGAGCCAAAGCAGACAGGTGTGAGCGAGCATTAGGCTTGAAAAAAAGCAGTTGAGGTCCTTTTGTGATGCTTGAACACAGAATGCAAGAGAGAGATGGCAAAGAGAAAAAAAAGCCAGCGAGGCAGGGAAGAATCAGATTTCCGGTGGTCTTGTAGACTGTAACAAGAAATCTGGATTTTCCTTTCATAATTAATAAGGTTTTATGGCTGAAGACTCAAGAGCGGGAGACTAGAAGAGTATAGCAAGAAGCCAGATAAGGAATGATGGGGGCTGAAACTAAGAAATATCAGTGGGGACTGTAAGGAAGATAAGGATACAAGAGAAGGTAAGAATCCATAAGTGGAGGTAGTTACAATAAAAAAGTAAAGCACACATGATCTTCCAATTAAAGATTTTATTTAATGAGATGTTTTACAAAATTATTTAAAATATGAAGTCATGTTTGCTTATACATTTAGCTATTTGTTTTTATTGATAATAATAGATTACATGAAATTAGGACTTTCCCAGAAAGTGGAGCCACAGTATTTTTGGATCTATAGCCCTGGAATCTGGCAAAGACACCAAGCTTCTGTAACTTTATTTCTACCTCAGAGGTCAGTATTGGTCTAGGAAGGTCCTAGATAACCTGATATAATATGGGGCTGGTGCAGAATGAAATCTCTAACTTCTAAAATTAAGATTAATACTCTTAAGTTAACTCTAGGTACCTCACTCAGTTTCAGGCACTCCTCAAACTTAGGAGTTCTGATAGTGTTGAAAGGAGATCTATGGACCAGTGATTGGTATAGAAGAGTTCCACAGAATTCTATAAATTCTGGAGCAAGCAGTATCCATAGGTATAGGTTAAGTCTACCCCATGGTCTATATTTTCAAAGCCACATTGCATTGCCCTGACAGGTAGGTTTGTTGTGTGACACCAGACGTGTCATTTGCTGGATCTCTTTGTCCTCCTTGGGTGTCAAAATGGAATTTTGACATAATCTTTTCCTATGCCCATTAAGGGTTTATTACAAAGTAAAGAGTTAAATAAGCCACCCAGATATTTGGGGAAGCAACCCAGAACCAAAGCATCAATAATAAAACTCAAGTCAACTTCTTATATATCAAAGCACCACATCCCAAAGGTCAAGGATGTAAAAAATGACCTTTACATTTTATACACTAAACACTGTTTAGTTATTTTCAAAAAATTATCAGAGAACATAGAAACCTTCAAACAGTAGTTAGATAGAAAATGGATAGAAAATTTAAAAAGTGTTTATTCAGACTTTAGTGAACAGTCAAATATTTGTTTATTGCAAATCTATGTTATTATACATTTTACTTCCTATAACTGTAAATAAAAGCTAAAATGTAGGAGTACATATGATCTAATCTATATTCCTAACCCTACTCAATAAGTAGCTATACCTTAAATACAAACTTATGCTCAAGCAAAATATAAAAGGATTATTATTTATAATATAAAGTAGAAGGCATATGCCTAGAGCCTGAATAACTGGTACCAATCTATTGTAGTACACTGCACTTAGAAGTGCTCATTTATTTTAGCGTAATGTCTTATAAATAATGCAGTGAGTTAAAAGACCGGCCTTGGTTCAAGAGGAAAGCTTGATGAAAATGGATCTAAGAACCAATAAAAACTCCAGCATATCTCAAGGAGAAATCTGAAACTCCAAATCATCATTCATAACTTCCTATTAATTATAATTTGAGATAAATTCCCAGTTACTTCTCAGTTATGGATACATCTCCCCAGTGACAGTCTTGTACAGATAGACCAGAAAAAAAAAAAGGTGGGCAATTCTTGAAAGTCACTGGAGGATAAAACAGAGTTACATTTGGTTTCCTGTTCTAGAAGAGTGAGAGAAGATTACATGAAGGGGAAGAACCTGTTATTTTACTAAAGCCATTAAAAGATAATTCAGGGAGATCTCAAACCAAGTAACCATGTTGATAACATGCATTCCACTCTCATGTTTAAGACACAAAGGTCTCCATTTCTCTAAGGGAACTGCTTTTTCGGCATGACACACTCTCTCTCTTGCCTTGGAGCCAAGTAATTGGAACCCTAAACACACGGCGGAGCTTCTGTTGGAACCGGTTTCCAACAAAACAATACAAAAAGGGATTAATGCAGCTGTTGGTGAATCCCAGGAGGATGGCAAAAGGAAGTGCCAGGTCAATGACTGCTATAACTTCACAGCTATTAATGACACCCATCCAGGCCAGAGCATCCAGGAAGGTCAGAACATGGAAGGGAAGCCAACAGATGATGAACGCCAAAACAACAGCAGCTGCCATCTTCAGGACTTGGTCACGAGTTATTCTGTTCTTCCCATAGCTATTGGTCTTCAGTAGGTGTTTTCTGATTCCAAAATAGCATGTTGCTATGAATATTAAAGGGATAATAAAACCAAGGATATTTTTCATTAAGGCAATCCCAGCTGACCATTGGGCATACTTCTCAGGTGGGAAAGCCATAATGCAAGCATTCACTCCTAAATATTCAATTGTTCTGACATCTCGGAAGTAAAATGTTGGCAATGAGGACAGACAGGCCATACACCAAACAAGTGGAACTATATAAGATGCTTGCCAGGGATTTCTTCTTTGAGACAGAAAGGGGTAGATGACAGATTGGTACCTATCAACACTCATGCAGGTGATAAAAAAAATGCTCGCAAACATGTTCAGGGTCAGGAAAGAACCAAAAACCTTACACATTACAGGTCCAAAGAGCCAGTCATATCTGTAAGAATAATAGGTTGCCCAGAGAGGAAGAGTAGCCAAAAGCAGTAAGTCAGCAACAGCCAGGTTGAAGATGTAAATGCTGGAAACCTTTTTAGGACCCTTTTGACAACAAAACAGTGTAACCACGATAGTATTGACAAGAAATCCAACCACAAAAATAATGTAGTAGAGAATAGGAATTGCATCTAAATGCTTATCTGATGGCTTATGGGAGCAGTTAAAGGTAGACTCATTGCCAGAAATGTTCACAAGTCCGACGTGAAGACTGCTGGTAATGTTTTTGCTGATGGTGGTGGCAAGGGTGAAGTTGTCCTTCATATTGACTGAAATGTCAGCAGCTCCTAATTCTTACACCTTCTGGGGGAAAAAAAACAACAAAAAAAACCAACAAAAACCTCTCAGAGCACATACAGGATTTAGGACATCATCAAGTCATTAGCATTTTAAAAGTTTGTTGAAAGCAAAAAATGGTGGATGGTTATAGACAATATTGGGAAACGGAAGCATGCCTTATGAAATAAGAATGGATTTTACTTCTTGAAGAAGAAAAGAGAGTTTTCTCAATAATACCAAGAAGTTAAAAGACATTCTAGCATCAAGACTGAAAATTCTGAGCAAAACTACATTTTGCCCATCTTTTCTATTATGTTGTGAAAAGGTTTAAAGAAAATTAATATTTCAAAAGGTTAGCCAGAATAGGAAATGCGTGAAACAAGAAGGAACTAAGAAATAAGACAAGTTAGCATTTCAAAAACACTTGAGCACATATCTCACTCTATATACTTTCTAGAAACCACACTGCTGCCTGCTATTGCGTAGAGAAATGCCTTATTCAAGTAACTAATTATATACAAATCATTCCAGCAATGGAAAATATAAGTAACATAAACTATGGAAAAAATAAGTAAGTGTACAAAAGATTGAAAGAGAATATGCAAAAAGGAACATATTGGGATGGGGGATTATGGTTGGTTTTTACTGATTAAAAATAATTCCTTTAGTTCTACTTTTCCATTGTTTTCACAATAATAATATAATTACGAGGTAGTTATGGAATATGTGCATATTTTTAAAAGCCCCCATAACATTTTAATAGAGACTATTACTTTTACATATAGATACTTAAGTTTAATCCATTTAAAAGAAAATCTATTTTCTTTTTCAATTAGGAAAAGAGAAAAAAATAGCCAAATCTGATTTAGGGTCAAATAGAAAAAGTTATATTGCTCAATGAAATAAGAATTGAATATCAATGATTAATCATGATATAATTGTATCATTTTTCCTTTGCTATTTTAGTTTAACACAACTAAGTAGTAACAGTGCTACTTGGCTCTCAAATGTTATGGTCAATATTCAGGTTTTTGCGATACTGTTAGTTTTAGTAGCAACTTTATTTTAAAACAAAAGAAAATTAGCTGAAGATAAACACAGTAAAGGAACAACTATTCCTTTAGATAGTTTCAAAACACAGATAAATAAACTACTCAGTGAAAATGTAATCAGCAAAGAATCTCCTAATAAACAGCAAACTTACAATTTTTGTCTAAAGCTTATTCTTTCGTAATCTTGACCTAACAAATTAACATGAAAGAATCTAAAATAAACCCACTTGAAGACTTACTGGTTGTTGGAGTTTAAAGCTTAGTTATCATAAATCAGCTTGCCTAGTTCCTAAGTGCACCCCTGTAAGAGAAACAGCAGTTAAATAATTTAGGAGTTTTGCAAAATAGTGTTAAAATACAGGAAAAAGGAAAAGTTCATCCATAAAAAATATTTTCATTTAATGTATGTTCTACTTTCCAGAGTATATATAAATTGTGCAGACCTACCTTAAAAATTCAGGCTGAAAATGCTTTTAATTCTGTGCTTATTCGTTCCCTTAGACTCGGGGACGTAATAGCACCAGATCTCTGGTTTCCTTCTTATATGTTCGGTCTGTCCACTGGGAGCCTTCAACCTACATAATTCTAGGGCTGACTTATGAACACTTGCCAGTTTTCCAGAGTTTTTTTCTTTTGGCTGCAAAACATTAATCTGAAATTCTCACTGTCTCCAATCATAACAGCTCATTCAAATAAATCTCAAACAAAAAAATGAAGTTTCCACAAATGTGTTAGAGAATTTTGAAGTCAGTGGCTTACTTTAAAAGAAGAATATAATTATTTGCAGAATTTTCTCTTTCTTTTACCCCGATACTGGCATTCTAAAATGAGTTAAGGAGTGGAGACTAGGGAATATATTCTAGTAGTAGAATCTTTGTCCATCAGCATCTTTCGCAACCTTCATTAATTTTTGAAAAATTTACCCCTGCTTATTAAAGAACAGCAGCAACTTTACTTGAAGTCTAAAATTTCTCCCTTGCTTTAAGCAATTTTTGTTGGCTTGTTGCTGGAGAGGTGGTGATGGTAGGGATATAGTTCTCACGTCTTCTAAAAGAAGTATTAACATGTAGCATCTCCTTTCATGGGTCTCTGTCCTATTTGCGGTTTAAATACAAAGCACACAGGGTGAGAAGAATTAGGCAGCTACTGCAGCCTAGATCACTGTTGTTTTTCTTTTTGTGGGAGTGGGGGTGATTAGCCTTTCACAATAACTCTAGTAGAAGCAGGAGTGACAAAAAGAAGAAAGTTAAGTACGTAGGAAGTGATAAGAAGTGATAATACCAGCTGACAATAAACGCCATGTGCCAAATACTGTGCCAAGTGCTTTTTGCTCGATACTTTAATGGAGGAGCAATATAGCACACTGGTATGGACATGGCCTCTGGGTTTCAACTGCCTGGTTCACAAGCTCGGCTATACCACTTGCTAATTCCATGACCGTGGCCAAGTTACTTTCCTTCTTCATGTCTTAGTTTTCTCATCTGAGAAATGGGGATGATGTTAATTACCTGCATCATGGAGTTATGAAAATTAAATGAGCTTATATACTTAAAGTGCTTAAAACCGTGCCTAGTACATGGTAGATGCTATTATAGGCTATTAATATTACCTCCATTTTAAAAATCAGGAAACTAGGGCTCACAGAGCTTGAGTAACTTTTCTGAAGTCACATAGCTATTAAATGAGAACATTGGAATTCAAACTAAGGCACTCTAAAGTCAGAGCTGACGCTCTTAACCTCCACACTACAGGAGGGAGCATTAGCTGGTCCTTTAATCTCACCCTTTGTCCTAGCAAAGAGAAAACATGCAACATTTACAAAAAGTCCCTGCTGACCATTCATAAGCTGTTACAGAGCATTAAAGAAGGGAGAAAGAGTCTGACGATTGTTATGTGGTAGAAAATATTCTTCTTCATTTTATTGCCAAAATGGAGACCACAGGTAGGTGAAATGTGTGACTAGTTTACTACAGTGAGTACAGAAAATCAGAGAACCCAGGACACTTACATGGGTATAAAGGATTCCAGTTATTTCTACTGATCATATCTTTCTGAGAGCAGTAAGAGTGCACCTACCCGGGCTGCAGGCTGCAGGCTGCAGGTGGAGGACGAGGGCAGGCAGGCTCTGAGGAAGTAGCCGGAGACCTAAGTAACGGTCTGGCAGAAGGAGTGCAACAAAGGGAGGGTGGGTGATGGAAGACACAATTACAAATGACATGATACAAAACAGATGGCTTTTGACATTTGTCTGTTTCTCCATTCATCTTGAAGTCAATCCTGTAGTGCACAGGCGGATGAGACCAGCAAGAAGAGGTCACCACTGCCTGAAAAATATAGTAGGATTCAAAGCTTTGCACAATACCATTTCACTGTTTCTTTCGGTAGACTGAACATTAAGCAAATGCTCCTAATATACAGACACAGCATTTTATGAAATCTCAAAATATTTGCTTCCTATGCTCTGGACAGATTCAGGTTGAGACTCTGTCCAAATGATGGAAAACTGATGTTTGGGAAACAAATGAGCGGGCACATATGGTTATCGGCAGGAGAGTTGAAATGGGAACTGGTTTCACTCTTTGTTTAAGCCTGGTTTCTCCCTCTATTTTGAATGTTTGTTTTTACCACGTACAGGGGAATTTTCCAGGCCAGAGCCTCCTGAGTGGTCACGATGGGTCAGATTCCCACCCTGCTCTATTTCTAGCCCCCTCTCATGCCCCTTTTAAAGAAATAGCCAGGAGGTGAGCTATAAACTTTTGAGAACAAACTGCAGGCTCGCCTCTGGGAGCCTTAGCCTTGAACACCCCCGAGGAGCAGGGGACCTTGTCTAGAGATTTTGTCCTTCATTACAGTAAGTTCTGACGTAAATAAAGTTTAAAGAGGCACACATTTCCCAGAAGATTAAGAGGACATTTACTCTGTTTCTTTATAATCTTAGGAGTAAAAATTTTCACCGGTCAAAGAAAAACTATGTAACTGCAGGGAAATAAGGGAAAAAAAGCAAAGAAAAGAAAAAAGGAAAAGCAAAGGAGTAATAATATTGACACCACTTGAAGTGAGAAATATAGCATATTATTGATTCAGTAAAGAACTCCAAGTTGAGCCAACAATGTAAATACACTTGAGAGTCAAATAAATGTCAGTCATGGGAAGCAGTACAACACAAAAAAATTCACTCTCCTGGGGGCAGAGGGTAATTTTTCTGCTGGAAGATTGACTTTAAAAGCCCCAGGTCATTTGAATAAATTATGCAGCTCTTCAGGACAAGTGCAGCTTGGCTAGCAGAATTAAACAATGGTAAATCATATTGAATTAATTTTTTTCTAGTGAATACCTTTTATTTATTGTGAGATTACTTAACGCTAAGTTTAAAAAAAAAAGATGCTCTTGAGAGGAATTTCTCCTCTGCTAAAAACCTCAGGAAAAATCTTATTTGTCCCTCTTGCCCCAACTCACACACTCACACTGGTTTTTTTTTGGCCGCACTGCCCTGCATGTGGGATCTTAGTTCCCTGAACCTGCACCCCCTGCATTGGAAGCTCAGAGTCTTAACCACTGGAAGTCCCCAGATGAGGTTTTGAAGGAGAAAAGAAACTATTAAATGCAAAAGTCTGGATATACATGCCCTGGTTATAAAGGTGAGGATTAGAGGTGCAGATTATGAAATGATTAAATGTATATCGGCCTTCCTTTTTAGTTTGTTTTTCAGTCACCTCTCTGAGTTCCTGTCCAGAACAGTAGCATTTCCACTCTTCCCAACTTCAACACACACACACACAAGTACCACCCCCGCAATTACCCACATACATACTTAACACTAATCTTTTTTCAATTCAGTTACCACAGGGAAGCCTTACTTGAATTGCCACTGGGCTTTTCCAAACCTGGGGGTCCCTGAAAGGCGGAGAGTGAAGAGGACTGCCTTGTTGATATGTCCTTGCAGATTATTTGTGTGCCTCTCTTTAGTTTCCAATACAATGAGAACAAGAATGTCAGGATGAAAACAAGTGAGAAAAAACAATAAGGACTTCTAATCAGAAATAACAATTAGATTGACCATTTTGTAGAAACCAGCCTAAAAATTCAGTAAAATGGCCAATATGAGTGACTGTTTGTATCAAATTAACTGACTGCCTAGGCATCACATAGAGAGTGAGTGAGAGGACTATTAAATCAGTTAACAAGTGGAATCCATGCAGTGAAATGAATGGATGTCTGACTCAGTACATTCCTGCGACCGGTTGCTGCCAGCTGAATCTGGTCCCAAAAACATAAGGAGGAGGAAGAGTTCCAATTTCCCTTTACCCCAAAGGCATTTGCAGGCCTGAGCATCATGTTCAGAGCAGGATCTCACAAAAGGCACCCTAGTTCTACCAAATAGCATCTCAATATATGTAACCCAACTGTTGGAAAAATAAACAATTAAAAATAGTCTATATTTTTGACTCATATTCAAAGTATCAGCTAACTGATATGACATTTTCTCCTATTTATCTGACTAAATTGATTATGTAGGGTATCACAATATGCCACTCCAAAGTATGCCACCTTGGCATAAGGATTATTTTGAGGTAAAGAAGATCGAGAAGAAGCAGATACAAGAAAAGCTCTCTGCCTTCCCCCTATTTGCCTAAAAGCAGGACATAAATTTGTAAACATGTCTCCCTTTCCTTTACCAAGAAGGACAGAATTCTTAATGAATTGGAGAAAACTTTAGACTCTATCGGCCCAGAGATGGACACCAAGAAGAATCTACATAACAAGTCTTACTAAATAATCTTTATCTTCCACTCATTTCCCCCATATACAGTTGACCCTTGAACAAGGCAGGGGTTTGGGGGCATCAACCCCCGGGGGAATTGAGAACCCATGTGTAACTTTACAATGGGTCCTCCTTACCCACAGTTGCAAGTCGGCAGATTCAACCAACAGAGGGTCGTATACTGTAGGAAGAATTTATTGAAAAAAATCTGCATCTAACTGGACCCTTGCCTTTCAAACCCATGTTGTTCAAGGGTCAACTGTATTGGGTTGGCCAAAAAGTTCATTTGGGTTTTTTCCGTAGCATCTTACATTCCCACAGTTTGCCACTAAAAATCTAAACCCCCTTTCCTTTGTCTTGTCACTTCTCTACAATTTAATTGTTCTTTTATTAAGATGCTATATAAGCCCAAGTTCTGACCACCCCTTTGAGTTACTCATGACTGAGTTCTCCCACCCAAACGCAGAATGTGTATGTTCATAAACTGTTTTTTTTTTCTACTTAATCTGTCTTTTATAAGTGAATATTGCAGTCCCAGCCACTGAACCTAAGTGGGTAATTTTTTTTCTCCTACGATTAGTTTGATTAAATTATCCAAAATGGCCAGTTAATTAAATTGAACAAACCAACCAGTTGTCTTATCAAGCTTTAAATATCACTGTTAGGTAATGAGGATGTTTTGAGGGATATGTGTTCAGGTTGGATCTCTCACAGGGCAGTGGATCAACAAATCATTAAGTCTAGGGTTTGGTCCTCAGGCTTGAGGTCCATAGACTGAATTTTCTCAGGATACCCA